ATAATAATTTAAAACCAGTTATCAACCCCAGATTTCTTAAAACAGTGACATTATAAAACAGGGATTATTTTAAAGTTTTATTTTTATTTCCTTGTCTAATTCTTGAATTCAATGTTGTTAATCACATGATATAATAAATCGGTTTCTAAAAACACTCAAAACACATTCACGGAACAAAATAATTTACCTGACAAAATGATTATCTAATAAATATATTTTCTATTATTGAAACAAATTATTATCTGAGGCATCTTATACGTTGTTTGGTTTATTTTATCCAAAATATAATCTGATACAAATTCTACCGTTATATATGTTAAAATTATACTTTTGAGTTTTTGTACAATCATTTTGCATTTTTAAAAGTACTTATATGTAACGCGATGTTACGTCAAATTAATACCAACATTAATCATTTTAACCGTTCAACACATTAAATATTACCCGATAAAAACCATATTAATATATTAATAAGTTTTTTTTATATATTTTTAAAGAAATGAATGAAATATTCTACGAATATATTTTTGTATAAATTTTGCCGAGTTTCACATATAGCTTTAATATATGGCATATATTTAACATATTAACATTGAAATATTCATAACAATACATTTTATACGCTAGAAAAAGTATACTATGTAAACATGTTTAATCGATTGTAAGATATCAATTTGTATCCATAAACTATATTTGGTGCAATGCGATAAAAATAACATACATTTGTGCTACGCCGACAATAGTATTACAATTATTTTATTATTTTTTTTTTTTTTTTTGTATCGAATTTGCTAATGAAAATAATTCCTCGCTTGATTTTTACTTAATAATAAAATCTGATTCCACGATAATTCATAACATTATAGTTAGCATTTTTTTTTATTATGAAACGTTTTGCATAAATTCAAACAGAATTAACAAACACGAACAATGTAACGGGCGCTAATATTTCATACTTAGTTTTTCCCACTTTCAGCAGTAAAGATCGAACCACTACTATAAACTGAACATTATAAATCACCCTGTACATATTTATATTCTAAAATATCTATATATCAAATTATGCAATTTTATCAACCATAACTTATCAGAACGTTTTATCCACACTGTTTAATAACTCACTGAAATATTATATACTGTGCATAGTAATATTTATTAATATTATTTGCTAATACATAATAAATTAATAATATAACTTTCACTGTATAGTCGAGCGGTTATTTATTGTCCGTGTGTTTGCTGAATTTTTTTTTCTGAAAAATTATCGTCAAAACGTAATGGCTACTATACATTATGGTTGTTATTACAACTACTATATTACTATTATTATTATTATTATTATTATTATTATTTTTTTTTTTCGTACAAAATTGTAGTGTGGTCATTTTGTTTCCTTTTTGACAAGTATTTGTGGTTTTTAAAACTTTTACACTTCCGGAAAGAAAATAAACGACCTACACATGTCATGTTGATTGATGGTCAACGAAAAAATCGAACATAGTGCTAAATCTACAACAATTAAAATTTGCTATGCATAAAATTGCCCATGCGGATTTTTAGTCCATGTAAACCACGTCCGATCGTTTTTCTACAAAACCGAATAAAACGCCATCGACCGGTGTCCGTTCACATATTTGGTCTGTATCATATTTTCAATTAAAAACCAATGTTTCTATTATGTCTTCGTTTTCATTTTCCTTTTTTTTTTTTTTTTCAGTGTTGAAATATTAAAAATAAATGGTATATAATGGACTACAATAGGTCTACCATAATTTATCTGACTGCCGGAATCCTAAACGTACGTGGCTTGAGATCAAAATCCTCAACGGCCTCCAGCGGTGCCACAGAGAATAAAAATACAAAAAAATACAATTCGAAAGTTGAATTCGTTTCGGTTGGTGCGCGTCTTGCGAACCCGACAACCGGATTTGCGCACCCTACATTATTATAGGGAAAATATTATTACGTCAGAACACGGACGTGTCGGGGAAAATCGTTCACAGCACTGGACGTCAGGTTAAATTACATTTAATTTTCTCGTAGTGCTTGTGGACTTGTGAACGAATTTCATTCGTTTTAAGAATTCAGAATGTTCGTATTACAATTTTTAATTATTATCAGTCTTTGAGAATCCATTGTGGTTCCATACCCAAGCATAATAATTATTACAAATAGTTGTTTAATTCGAATAAAAGCGTTGCGTTCGATTGATAATAATTTATTACACCACACATCGACTGTATTATGTATTTTATACCTTTACACGTTAACGTTATTGAAAAAAAAAAAAAAAGTTGAACATTATTATATTATATTATATTATATTATATTAATATTGAACTCCCCGACTTTCCCAAATTAGCAAAACAAACTTGAACTGTATTTTTTTCATTTAAAAGTTTTATTTTATTTTCTTCCAAAAATATCGTTAAGAGCAAATGCCATCATAAAAACTAAACCGTTGAAATTCGACATTACGACGCAATTATAATAATGTCTAAACACATATAATCGGTAAATCTCCATTATGTATTTGGGAATAGCTCAACCAAAACAGAGTCTCGGCGGCCGATAGCCAAAACCCTAACTCCGGACCCACGTGAATGATATTCGATTTCATACACCGAAAACCCGAGATACGTACAGCCGATGAGTTATTATCACGGTATATCGGTCAGACTACAAAAAAATCTGAAAACCGGAATACATCTGTTCGGTGCGATGAAAAAAAGTTTTCTATTGAGTGGCAATTCTTCAGAACGCAGTCACTACAGTGGTAAATGGCGGTTCGATTATTGTTGTTCGCAGCGGCTTCAATCATGGGGAAAGGAAAAGTAAACGAATTTCTCTGTCCCAATCACGATATGCTTCTGTTATTATAAAAATAGGTTCGTTTCTCTTCGATTTACTTTAGAGTGCCGGTGAATCAGTGAAATTAAAAATATTGTTGTTAATTATTTTGTCCACAAACATTAGATATTATACATGTATGTATTTTATGAATAAAATCAATTATTAATTACGGTGTTATTATGTTAAAAGAAGTTTTCGAGTAAAAAAAAATAATAAAAATATTAATTTATATAAACCAGCAGCCTAATACTGCGTTTACGAGCTTTGTAGGTTTATAATTGCAACACGGCCCATTCAGATGTAAAGGACGAATAATTACGAGGGGATAATGGTGGGATACATAGGAGTAGGGTATGTCACGCTGAACTAATTAATATCTTTGTCGTTTCCGCATCCAACCGCAGTTCTAAGGTCTATGGCTTTTTCTGATTACGGGAGATTTCGTCGGGCATTCTTCCAATTCAATCGGACGGTTTAAATTTTAGCTCTGACAAATCACGCTACGACGCGACGGCACGAGTTGTGTCTCTATGAAACAACGCCCAAATTATTGTTCACCGCCAAAATATCGTCTCGGTAATTATGTATGGACGAAACGCGTAAAAAAATCAAACGAACAACGTGAGTGTATCCAATCTGCACAGCGGAGTACGCGTCATAGTGTACGATTGTTTCCAACTATTACGGACAAGACAATTGCATTATTATTATTCATAATATAATAACATTGTTGCACGAACTGTTGCGACGAGTGATGTAGTCCAAAAACAAGGTTATAGATGTTCACGCTTGAATCATTGTAAAAAAAATATATGCACAATATTGTGAACGTTAAAAATAGATCTGTGTACTAACGGTCTCTGTACAAGTCATGATTAAAGTTAGTACTATCTATAGCCGTGGTATAAGTAAACCACACAATTTTAAGATATTTTTTTTTTTTGTAAATGAATTAAACAAATTACGCTTATCTGTTTTTACTCATTGGATATCGAAAATTCTTAAATAATATTTGATGGGTAACGTTAATATGTATCGTTTACGGTCCATGTACCTATGTACCACGATTTTCGTTGAGGGTACGTGCATAATTATAAAATTAAGGGTAGGTACACGCCGTGTAACCCCGTGTGCTCTTCACTACACCATTGGTTGCAACGCATCGTCGAAATAATTTGTCGAAGTTGGTCGACTAAAAATTGTTCTTTAAGGAAAAAAAAATCAAAATGTACATATATATGTATACATACAACATATTTATAAATATTTTAAATGTTAAACTACTACGACTTGTAAATCCATATAAAACTCAATGTCGTCTTTAAAGATAACATTAATTATTGAACGAGGGAAAAAAATAAACGTTAGTAGAAAAAATCTCTGAAACAGCAAAGTTTTTCCAGCTCATAAATAGTTTTCTTATTTGCCATCCAAAAATTAACTTTTTTATATTCTATGGGTACCCAAAATTCGAGGTATTCCATTCAAAACTTTTATGATTTATGACCGACGAGCTATAGACCATATAGACGCATACTTATTATACAACCATTTTTGTCGATGTGTTCACAATATTGGTAGAACTACAGAGGTAATAAAACTGCGACAAATGTCGAAATCGTAGGAGGGAGGAGAACAAATTGTGATTCAAAAACGGATGAACATGTATTATCGTTCACGTGTGAATAACATTTTTTTTCCACTGGATATAATACTTCAAACGGTTTGAAAAATATTACATGGATGCATACAATTTAAATGAATTATAACTTTTTTTGAACGACTATTCCTAATTCTTCGTTGATATACCATCAATGAGTTCGGGCAATTAAACTTTGACACATTTGAGCCGTCGAAGGTTTAAGAGTTTATGAGCGTCTTCTGAGAAGTTTTACAAAACCCGAACCGAATATTACGGTTGAAAAATAAATCCCCTGACGGAATTCGTTTCTGAAATAGTAGTTTGTGTTCGTATGACGAGACCGCGTCTTTATATCGTTCCACAGTAATACCGTTATGACACGATAAATAAATTCGATTGCGCGAGAAAACCGATTCCAGAGAGATAATACTTTATTTTTGCATTAGTTTAGTTGTCCAAGTGAGTTGCATGTGTTTATATGGTAAAGGTATGAGGGTGCACTCACCGCGAAGTTCGTACGGCGACGTTGGACTAATGACGAAAACAACAGCAGCGTCGTTATACACCATTCGCGCACCACAACCGAAAAGCGCACTCGGAAAACCAAATCACACGGAAACAAATATCGAAAACAATTTTGGAAAAACGAACTCACGGGTATAAAAAAAAAAAATAAATATCGCACTGATTATGCCATTGACATCACTGCAGGCACGTAACGGCACATTTTTGAAAATTACGTATTTCCAGTAACGAATAGGTGTGTATGTATGTGATTATGGGTGTGTATGTACGTGTATGGGTGTGTGTGTGTGTGTGTGTGTGTGTGTGTGTGTTTGATTATGGGTGAGTTTGTGTGACAAGGAGCGAGTGTGTATGTGTGCGTACGCACGTAAGTGCGTGTATGCTTGGCGTGTGTATGTGTTCGTTTGTGTGCGTGTGTACGTGTGTGTGCTTGTGGTACCGTAAAACGGAAAGCGAACGACGACGACGAGGACGACGGCGAACAACGACAACGCACCAGCCCGTTGAAGGGTCGCTCGGAAACTGGCGGGAGCGTCGGCGGCCGAAACGGTAGAGCTTGGCGCGCGGGGTAGTTTGTGTGGACTGTGATGGCGGAGTGGTGTCGGGGGGAGGGCAAAGTCGAGCAGGGGGTAGGAATGATTCTTCTGTGCGTTCGCGCGCGTATGCATGAACCGCCTTACAACCGCGCCAAATTCTCCATACCGCAACGTTCGCCTTGAGACGTACACGGTCGGTCTGGTTTTTTTTCTTTTCTCGTCTGTTTTATTTTATGTATTTTTTTTTTTTTTTAATCGACGGATCCGTTATCTCGTCAACACGTATACGCGATACGTGGTAGCGGAGAAGAACAAACGTACGCGCGGACCACCCCCCGATTCGATCAATCTACTCCCAGCCAGACAAATTTTTCGTTCGGCTGTGCCTGTACAGGGGCTTCGTATGAATTCCTCACGTACAGAGTAGGTACACACCGCCACTCGGGGCGCAAAGACGTGCATCAATCGTGCGGCCGCATTGACTGCGACACGTCCGCCGGCGATGCGACGACCGTGGTGTATTCCGGTTCGTTTAATGTACCACCACACGCGGTGCGCAATTTTACTTGTACCCGACTCAAATCGCACTACACCAATCGATGAGGACAATGCTCCCTATCACACCGAAATTCCCGAGTTATTATTTATTATTTATTTTTGGATATTTAAAGTACAAGGAAAAAATGTATAAACCAGACATGAGAACCAACGTTTGATACTTATCCAAAACATTTACTTACTGTCCCGTTTGGATTGTTATGTTTTCTCGAAACGAAATGAAATGCGCACATGATGACCGTATGATCAATTTCAGAACTGTTTCTTTCGATATTTTTGCAATATTTTTGTTGAGGTATTTTATTTTATTTTTTTGTTGTACGACTACGAAGGAAAATGCATTTCAGTACAGTATCTTTTTCGATACTTCATATACTACTTCGATAGTTCACTTCTTTAATCGAATAAAAATTGTGATAATGAAATGAGAGTAGGGATGAAAATAATGTGATTACGGTTTATGAAATATTTTACATATTTTTGACTGACGTTCAATAACGCCACGAAGTACTCGGACAAAAGCTCGGAGCTTTGGTTTCTCTGGAATATTTTCACACGGACATTGTGGAATGATGTGATTTTCATTTTAATGCACTTATGATACATTTAATATAGCTGTGCGATATTTGATAACGTCTGTTCACGTATTTTGTGCACAACTACTCGTGATAATACCCAAACGTAACTTCGGTAAAGTTTCTTAATTTCTTTGATTTTCCTTTCGAGTGGATCTTTTTTGTAATGTTCAATCTATTGAAACTGTATAACGGCGCACGAGAAACTAAGTTAGGTCGCGAATGTGTGCCAGTGCGACTTTAACGATCACGATTAGTTCGCGCATAATACCGACCCGATAACTATTAAAATATCGCTGCAGTGTAAGCGTACACAAAACTGTTTTAGCTGTTTCGAACGTTCGACGACGCTCGCGTGTCCGCAAACACAACGTAATGAAATACTCCTTGCAAATAGATGGCTGCTGACAGTTTGTTTTTAAGAACCCGAATCGTCGGTGGCACAATAATAATTATTGCCCTCGACCGTTTCACCATACTTCGCGCGATCCCGAGGCACCAATTTTCGGTCAAATCCAAAACACTCCCATGTATATCCGCATAACGTCCCCCACCGGTAATTTATCATTTCTGGATTGACAAATGTATTGCCATACAACAGCAAATCTGTACCAAATTGAATTTCTCGAGGATTATCTCTCGATTAATCGCGCACTAGTTGTTGTTATATATAGTAACAGGTACGCTGTGGCGTGTAAAACGGCACCCGGTGCATCGTAAACGTGAACGATGTTGCTGTCGTTGCCGTAACAATAAAAAACATCTTTAAATATGACAACGAATACAGTTACTCTCCGGAACATCAGGTTCGTATCAGTAAACTTCAGGACTAATACGAGAGAGAAATAAATATATTATTCCTTATTTTATGTTTTGATAGACTTTATATGAAATAAACGTTTGTGTTTTGATGTCAATTAGTATTTGAAAGATAAAGCATAAATAGTAGGTAAGTCGTAATTGACATATGGAATCCAATATAAATGGTTAGAATATTATCGAAATTTCAGTTGAATGAATATAAGAAGCTGGAGAAAATGTTATAAAAAAATATAGTCATACCTGCATTACCATAGTTGATTTCAATTTTTAGTTTTAGAGTTACACACTATATTGACAACTAGAAATTATAATTTACCATGAAAGTAATAAATTAATTTAATGTTTTAATAAATCTGTCTGTGTAATATTAATGTAGTTATGCACAAAGTGTAATAATAACAATAATAATTTCCTTACCAAAATCACATAATAAATTATTAGTAAAATCATAGAATAAAAACAATTATGATTTGTTTAAATAAGTACACTTTAAATAATACATTTTTCTATTGAAATCAATAAATATATATATGATTTCGATAAAATTTGAATGATTTTCATTTATGTTCGATTGATAATAGATAAAGAGTGACTAATACGGATTATATCGGACATTTAATTTCACACGAATACTCGTGAATCCTCGTTAAAATATAAAAAATGTGTATCAAATTTTTAAAACCCAAAGTAACAAATGTTTTTCTTCGTCGTTCACATATAATGTGTTGTCTTAAACTTAGATTCTACGACACCACTGTTGGGTGCTGATACAATAATGATTACATAACATGAAATACGTACGAAAAACGGAAGCCATTTTCTAAGCGAATTAACAATGGAATACTATCCAAACGTTGAAATGCATGTAAATTATAGAAATTGTTGTTCGATGTTCATTCGATAACTTTAATAAAATCTACCACCCAAGAGTAGTATTGCTGTTATAATATTCAATTGTGTCTTTTATAATATCAATTAATTGCACAGCACTGTAAATATCTTAACTATTATAGCAAATACCAAAAATAGAAAGCTCACTATAATAATTATTTAAAATAATTTTTATCGTTATTGAATCATAGGATAGTAATAAAAAAAATTTCCATGCACTATGATCACTATCTATGAGACATGTCAGTTATTAAAATATAATTTGAGGATTGAGTACTTTTGTAAATAAATAAATTAGATGAAAAATTTCAATAAATAAAATTAGAATTTTTTTCAAATTTCAATAACCAAAAATATATGTATATAATAATTAAATAGTTCATAAATATAAAATGTATTATATTTAATTTGCTAATTTAAATTGATGCATTCACGTCAAAGTGTATAAAAAATCATAAAATGGAAATTAAGTCTGTATTTTCATTTTATTCATTTTATCCGATCTTATTAATTTTACGATTAATAATATCTCCAACAGAAGTACTAACAAGTAGGTAACTTAAATAATATAAATATTTAATAAAATTAAATATTAAGAATATTGATAACAGCAAAGATTTTTCTACTCAAAAATATAGTTCATTATTGTACTTTTACAATATTTTCAAAAGTTTCAGAAATCGTAATTTATGCATTTGCATATTTATCTTACTCTGTTGTTTATAATGCATCTAGCATTAAAAACAACATAGTGAAATAAAGTATAGTTAGTAGTATAGTATAATATTTATATATTATATATAAACATATATAATATAGTAGTAAGTATATCGAGTACAAAAAGACATGGAAATCAATTTCAAGATACCGCGATGAAGAATAATTATAAAAAGTATTATATACAGAATTTCTTCAGTATATTTAATAATAATTGGTATATATAAGCATTTTACTTATTTTATTTGGATTATTGAAATAATTTCAACATTCCTATCAATTCCTATCAATACTGTAATTTTTTTTTTTTATGAAAATACAAAGCAAAATTAAAATTTAATAAAAATTGAAAAATTCCATCTTTTATTATTTTTCGTAGCTTGAAAATATGGGAATAGTTCTAATTTAAAATTATTTAAAATATAACGCTCTTGGCCATTACATCATTGGGTTTATCAGTGTTCTGTGTATAAATAAATAAATTTAGTGGAAAACATACATTAAAGTTAAAATAAAAATAGAAATTTAATTTTTGATACTTTAACAATGGTTTATTGAGGACAAGTTAATTTATTATTGTATCATAAAATAATTTTATTTCTTTAATGCTCATATTTTTAATGTATATGAATACATATTTCTGATTTTTTAAGCCGTACGTATTAACACATTATTGTTATTGTGTATTTGCACATGCCAAGTCAAACAACTTTTAGTTGATAGTATGACGAGAACTTCAAAACATAACAAAGCTGTGAAAAAAAATAACTCTGTGTATTATCAAATCATAACACATAAGTAATCAATATTTACTTTATTATATTTAGAATACGTATACAGATAATGAACAATAAATTGGTATAAAATAAATTAGTAGCACAATAGAAATAAGTCCTTCAAAATGTGCTGGAAAAATTTGGCCCAATGAAAAACTCATTCTTATCATGATGAACATTGAATTCTTACAATATTGTTATTCTCGAAAAAATTATTAAATCTCCACCTAGAATTGTATAGCTTACTACTTGCTACTTACGGTCTTTGTTCCTCACGCGAAATGTTAAATAAACGCAATTATTATTGTTCATTTAGTAATATAAAGCAATTGTAAAACAACATTTACTCGGACGGATTGTATATTTTGAAACAACAAATTGCATAATTTTATAATATTATACTATATTATAATTATTCACTCGAATTGCCAACCGCCGGCGGACTTGCCGTTGGAAATGACTGCAAACATCCATTATCTTTAAATGCCCGATGGTTCGTATTAAATATTTCCATGGCTCTTTTATAAATAAATATAATGTGTATAGCAATATATTATATTCATTTATATTAAATACGGTAATATAAAAATAAAAATAAAACTTAAAATTGGGTTTTACTCATTTTAAAAATATA